CATTTAATAAATGTTTTGTTTGATATATAAGTTGTTCGGGTTTTTCCATCTAAAAAAAAAGCGACATTAATTCCTGACGACCTAACAGATAAATTAAGATCGTATGTGTGACAAAAACTGATATACGTAATACACTATGTTATAATAGTTGTCTCATTAAAACAATGGTTTTACTTGTAAATTTTTAAGGCATATAATCAAATCTTGTTTGTTTAGAATTTCGCGCAAAGCTATACGAGGGTTATCTGCGCTAGCCGTCCCTAATTTAGCAGTGTATGACTAGAGGGAGGGCAGCTAGTCATCACCACCCACCGCCAACTCTTGGGTTACTCTTTTACCAACGAATAATGGGATTGACCGTCACATTATAATGCGCCCACGGCTGAAAGGGCGAGCATGTTTGGTGTGAAGGGGATTCGAACCCACGACCCTCAGATTGTTCTAACCACCTGGCCATAATTAAATCTAGATAATGATGAGGTAATTACATGTTGAGACACTCTACGATGAGCTCATAATCCTATTGAACTATTGGTTTATAGAAACACCATCCGCCCTAGCAGCACTAATTTTCTAACACAATTTGCGAAGTAATACCATCCGCCTATAGAACCTTAGTAACACAATCCATCTAGCGACACCATCCGCCTTTGTAAAATGCATGTGATATATAAATGAAAACTATAAACATTAGTTGAGACGAGTTAAAATCTGTATGTATGAAGTATAGTAATGCTGTCCGCCTATAGAAACACCATCTGCTTTGTAAGACACAATACGCCTTATAAGACCATCCGCCTATAGTATATTAATAACACAGTAAATCTATAGAACCTTAGTAACACTGTCCACCTCTATAACCTTTGTAACCCCAGTAACACCCGCTCTGGTGTCACTTCTTATAACTATAACGCCATCTTCTCCACCTTTCCCGCTGAGGAAGCCAATCAGCGCGTGCGTCCAGAACACAGCCCTAAGTACTTATTTTAATGATAAATTATCTTTTAATTCTTACTATTTTACTACTTGAAAAATCATATAGTACCATAGAAAAAATTATGTGTGTGTTTGTATGGCTATACGTGTACAGTTGTGTCAAAGTTTTATAATACAACCTTTTAAACCTTTTCCTAGTTAAACAGAAACAAACTATATGTTGCAAATTATTTAAGTAAATCTATGGCTTTCTAATAGTCGTTGTTTATACCAATTGCATGTATCCCAATTTTTTGGGATCTAAGGGTTTAAAACGCTTAAAATAGAGGCTGGAGACGGCTTAAATGGGTAATGAAGAAAAACTTAATATAAGTTTAACTATGACAGTAAAGTTATATTAAAGTTTTTCTTCATTACCCATTTAAGCCGTCTCCAGCCTCTATTTTAA